CATTTTTTTTTTCCGGATCAAGTTCGAAATGGCCGACTGGCGGCCATTTCTTAAAGAATTCAGTTCTGGATCCGTATCCAAGACATGTCTGGATTGATCAAGTTCAAACTTCACACACACATGGTGCATCATGTCACAAATAGATATGTGCATTTGTTTCATGATCCGCTTAGCAATAGCTGAATGATGGCCATTTTAAGGCCGAAAATGCATTAAAATCACGTATTTTCACAATTCCAGAACCGGATCTCAGTCATGCATGCATGGATTTTGTTCAGATTTAGTACAATGTGTTGTACATATGCAGGTGCATTTCGGTCATGATCTGCTTTGAATGTATATGTCACTCAAATATGAACGGAACGGGGACGTGTCATTGACAATGACTTGTTCATGTTATGCATCTCAGATAGACAAAAATTAGTTGCCAAGCTTCTTGTTTGAAAAGCAAATTTTTAATTAATTTTAATGTGTCTCCAATACTCTCAGCACACGAGAGTTCTTTCTAAGCTTTCTTTGATTTTAGTATGTATTTGGATTGATAATACAAAAAGACTGAGGTGTAGGTCTTAAGCAATTGGGGTAATTTTCAAATTAGGTACATATTGGTACTGATCTTTCACAACACAAAGGAATGTTTTTTAACATGTTCTCATTGCAATGTAGTAAGAATGTAAACTGTTATATCACGACTATTTTGCAAACAGAACTGAATTAATCTTTTTGTAAAATTAATACAATCCAATATATCACATATATTGATTATGACACAGCAATACATTCCTATCCAAAGTATGTTTTGATGATTATATGGATCTAGTGATTTATTGTATATTCTTAAAAGATCATACATAAAATTGAAATTGTTTCTAGTTTTATTTATTCAGTATTTTCTCCCATGTCTCATTGTGGTATTACTGTTCAGAAATAAAGTACTTATTTGCACTAAATACTTTGATGTGTAATATCAACCAATCAGTGCTACCCAGTCCCTAGTTTTTGAAGTGGAGAGAACAGTTTAAGGCCACACAGCTCTGCTCCCAAAGTGGCCTATAGAAAAAAACATGGAGTAATTAGGCAAGCAGTTTTCAAAGACAAGTCGCAAATAGCATGAATTGAACAAATCTGTGAAGGGTTCACCTGGAGTACATATATACCAAGTATTAAAGCAATCAGACTTTCACTTTTCAGGAAGAAGTTGAAAATTGACACAGACAACTCATCTTAACAACGTACTTAAAAATTGAGAACTTGTTTGTTGTGGTCATCAAATATTATATTTAACATAAATTACAACATTACCCAATGTGTGACCCAAAATTTATAATACCTCTTGCCATAATGATTTTGATAGATACAGTATAGTCTACAGTATATGGTTGTTTACAAGTTCCTTGTGCATTTGTCTTCTTATTTCTGGAATGTCATTTTGACTGAAATCAAGTGGCTGTTTCTGTAACAGCAACTTTGAGTACTGAAATATTAAAATGCAAAGTGTTACTTTGGTTTTAAAAAATTAGCAGTTCATCTAACAAACTTACAATAGTAGAACCCACCTCATCACAATCTCAGACTGCACCCACCTCATCACAACCTCAGACTGCACCAACCTCATCACAACCTCAGACTGCACGCACCTCATCACAACCTCAGACTGCACCAACCTCATCACAACCTCAGACTGCACTCACAACCTCATC